CACCCCTTGGTGTGGATTGCCTCTTCCCGGGAGAAACGAATTGCTGACAGTCAGAAGACTCTTATGTCTGAAGTTCATTATCTGTCTCTTTGTAGTATGGAGCAGAGCGGAATTGTGTCCTATTTTTGGCAGGCTGAAAACAGAGACCTGAGCCTTCCTTTATAGACAACTGCTCATGGAGGATTAGAGTCATACACAATAGTTCTTAGTTTTAAATCCCTATAGTTAATTCCAGATATTCTTTACTTACATAACCTGTTGTTGTAACTAATCCTGGGACATGATACAAGGGCTTTGTCTGCTCTGCACACTGCCGATCCTGTAGGAAAACAGCCCTTTCCTTTTTTTGCTGGCTCTGATGTATACGGTCATTCTTCACCACCGTTGTATCGTTCACTTTGAGTCAAAGGTGTGTGTGGTGGCTTATTCTATTGAGAATTCCGATTCTCTGTGTCTAGATTTTACACTTTTTTTTTACATCGTCCATCTAGGTGTGCTATATGGAGCCCTGTGTATTGGAATGGCTGCTGTGGCATCACTAATGGGAGCTTTGTTACAGGTAAGAGCTGACCCCCAAAGGTTTAAGTCATAATCACTAAATTCTTTTTTAATGTTTATGTGACCATCCTTTTAGACTTCTCTCGATATATATCTACACATAGACATATCAAGGGACAGAGAAGACTAAATTCTTTCTACTTTTTAAAATTAAACTGTCTATTTTGAGGTAATTGTAGATTTACATGCAATTGTAAGTAATAATACAGAAAGATCCTATATAACCTTACTCAGTTCCCCTCAATGGTAACATCTTGCAAAAACACCTTGCAGTCGTAGCATCTTGATAGTCCAACATACAAACAGGATATTGACATTGATAGCTGTATTACTCCTTTTATGTTGCCTGTAACAAAAATACTTGGAACTGGGTAATTTATAAGAAACAATATTTATTGCTTACAGTTTCAGAGGCTGGGAAGTCCAAAGTCCAGGGAACACATCTGGTGAGGGTCTTCATTGGTGGTGACTCAGTGTGTCATATTGTGAGATGGTGGAAGCAGAGAGAGATAAAACTCATGCACTTTTAAAGCTCTCAGAACAACGCCCATGACCACTATTAAATCATCAACTTAATCACCTCTCCAAGGCCCCACCTTCCAATTATCACAATAAAATTTCATACCCTCAAAAGTTACAGTGGGTATCAAGCTTCTAATACATAAAACTTGGGGAACACAATTCAATCCTATGAACAGTCAAGATACAAAAAATTTCCATCACCACAGGGATCCCTCGTATTGACCTTTAATAACTACACCCACATCCCTCGTTAACCCCTGGCAACCACTAATCTGTTATCCATTTCTATAATTTTTCATGTCAAGAATGTTATATAAATGGAATCATATAGCATGAACCTTTTGAGATTGGCTTTTTCACTCAGCATAATTCTTTGGGGATTTACTCAGGTTGTTGCATGTATCAACAGTCTGTCCCTTTTTGTTGCTGGGTAGTGTTCTCTGGTAGAGGTGTACCACAGTTTGTTTAACTGCTCACCTGTTGAAGGACACCTGGAGTTTCCAGTTTTGGGGTTTTACAGATAAATCTGCTACAAACATTTATGTAAGTCTCTGTTTCTCTAATAAATGCCCAGAGTGCAATGGCTGGGTGATAGTTGAATGTTTACCTTTTAAAGAAACTTCCAAACTAATTTCCAGAATGACTGTGCTATTTTTTTTTTATCACAAGTATGTATGAATGGTCTAGTTTTTCCTTATTCTTTCCAGCATTTAGTGGTGTCACTGTTTTTTCTATTAGGCATTCTAGTAGGTGTATAATGATATCTCATTGTGGTTTTAAGTTGTATTTCCCTAACGGCTAATGATGTTAAACTTTTTTTTCAGGTACTTATTTGCCATCAATATGTCTTCTTTCATTAAATACCTCTTTATGTCTTTGCCCATGATCTAATAGAATTGTTTG